TTTCGAAAATGAGTATTTTTGGAGTAATTAGGTGTCAAAGTTAGTCGGCAGCTCTGAAAATATTGCGCATCTTGCTGGTAATTTTAGGTGTTTTGAGGCATTTGGATGTCATGTAAGAGAATGTGTATATTATTTCATATTCCTTGTACGTTTCTTACTTTGGAGCTTTTGTTATACGTTTACAAATTAATCTTTTAGAAGTCGCAGTTGTATATTATTTCATCTTTCATTTTATTATTATATATTTACGTTAATTCATTTTAAATTGTGTCCTTTAATTGAGTTAAATGTGAAAACGAATAGATGAGCTGTCATTGTTGGTTGTCACCCATTGTTGTAATGCCGCACAGATAACACTATAACTTTTTTAACTAAACTGCTTTTTGTTCGCGGAAATAGAAACATGCTTTTATATATTTGTAGAATATTACAATACCATAGTGTTTACTAATTACTATATTATATTTTTCGATATATTTTGTCAACGCTATCAGTATTGTATTATTTATTAACTGTATTTTACTTACATTATGCTTATTACTCGCACCAAATTTCTAAAATTTCAAATGTTTTATAAAAACTAATTCGGAGAGAATTGGTGGTATAAATAATTTTACATATCATTACTAATTTAATTTAATTGATGCCTTATTTTACGCGGCGAGACTCAGGCCACGAGGCCCTGCTCTTCCGTCTGACCCCGCAAATTTCGCTACGCTCCTTTCACCAACTAGCAGAGAAAGGAGGTATTTTTTGGGCGAGAAACAGGCGATTTGAATTTAGTTCTGGTGCCATTTAGGCTTGATCTTTTACATGCAAGTAAATCTACTCACATGGAACAGCCGGCTTTACATCCCCTCCGAAGGATTTTTTCGCCCTAAACGGCTTTGATCGGGTTTGAACCCGCCAACTTGGGTACAACAGCCCGATACGCTAATCGTTACGCCATTGACGCGCGCACTAATGGCGAAAAAGTACCTGCAATTTTACCATACAATTTACAATTTCTATATGTTGCGGGGAATGCATTTGAATTGTCATTGTATTTCCGCCCCCCACCCCCACCCCAAGGAATCCGCAAGTCTTAATTTAAATTATCCCAATTGTTTTTTCTTTTGAAACACAATTTCAAAGTAATATGAAAGAAATTTGCTAGCTTTCAGGTAATATCAAATTTGAATGTGACAATGGCATTTTGCCCCACAAGATGGACTTGTAGTTCTGTGGATTCCGTCTCATTGTTGGGACATGATTTAGCTGTATGAAACGCAATTATATTAGTCGAATTTGTATTGATATTTGTTGAAAATATTTAGTTTTCGCACCTAATGTTTCACGATGTTATGAGTTTTACAGTGATGACTGGAATGTGTTAATTCGGTGAGAAATTGCCGGTGATAATGAAATAAAATTAATTAATTTCATTACCATAACTAGGAGCAGTAATAACGATGATCCCGAGATGAAGTAGTGTAAAACCTGTCCAAATCACTGGCAGATCCAGAGGGAGGGGGGGAGGGGGCAAAAGGCCAAGAGTTTCGTTTACCTTCCATTATTTAGCAAAATTGATTTAAATATTTATGTTCGAATTATGTAATTATTTTAACAATAATATTGTAGTATGATATCTACAGTATATAAATAATACACAATATAATAACAAATACGTTTATTATTTAACAAAAATCTATGATGGCCCACTCCAAAATGATCGGCAGGTTCAGTCCCTGGTTCAAATAATAGTGCTTGATGTAAGGGCCTGGGGTGCGATCACAGGATTTTCAAAACCTAGTTTGTTTTTGTTTCATGTCAATTCTATTACTGTCAAATGTGTGAATGGAGAACTAATACAAAAACTCGAGGGCCCATTGAAAATCAGAGCAGAAACGTGTCTTCTGGAGATGAACATACACTACACATAAAATAATGTAATGTTACAATATAACTTTCATTAAACTTAAGTTTTAATTAATTTTCATGAATTGCTCACGTTTTATTACATACTCATGTTTTGAATTTTGGGAATTATTTTCCCGCCATTTGAGCTGCAACCCATCAGTTTATTGGTGCAACAGCTGCCACTGAAGAGAACTAATAAAAATACAAAGAGAATAAAAGTATATTTATAAAATATAATAAATACAATTGAATTTATTATTTAATATTATTAGACCATTTTACTTATATTTTATCATTGACAAGGTTCATGTAAAATATGTACAATATGCCAAGTTTTTGATCTTTTATAAGAAACCATCAACACAAAATTTCGTGTGTCTGCTGGATAGGAAATTACCACTCCACCCCACAGTGGTGCATCAAACAGATTCAAGACGAAAAACAAAAACTAAGATTAAAGCCTATTTGGGAAACCCGCTCACATGCAACCCGCAATAGCTTATGTATTTCTCTTCAACACATTTTACTACCGAGCATTATTCGGAAACGATGTGTTCCTGCACAAACTATTTTTTTTTAATGTACTTTTTATTCCATTTTTGGGAGGTTTTCTTACACCAGTTTCCAGAAATGCGCACCAGAACACAGTTTCCAGTGTGAAGGTATTTTTACTTTTAAAACTGATTTAAAAAAGTTGTTTTTGAAGATTACATTTTTTTGCAAAAAATTGTTGAGACTTTCTAATACTTTGGAGGGAGGGGGATTTCTTCTCTTCTGGGAACTCTAGCTATTCAGACTTACCGTAAGTGGTAGCTCATGGCTCAGAGCGAAGTTGCTCGCCTTTCACCAAGGAGGTCCGAACAAGCTCATGAGAAATTTGTTCCAACTAAGTTTGCCTGCTTCACTGGGGCTAATACAACCCCTCTGCAGTAAACCCCACCCCTACCATCAATCCTTCTCCATTCTTGCGGCTAGGGAGTGACACAGGAGCTCGTGGTAAGGCTACTGGAAAAATGAAATGCAGGTCTGTGACGATGCAGCATGACTCTGCATTCAGCAGTTCAAGCACTGAAAATAGGGTTTATGCCCTAATTTCTACTCTTTTGGTTAGTAGAATTTCTGATGTTCACATTTAGCTTACAAGTTTAAATGGGAACTTCTGATTTAGGTATTTTACAAATGGCTCCACAGTAATTTTGAATTTTATCTACACGTCATGGACTATTGAGCTGATTTTTACCTGTTTTGGTTAGGATATAAGAAAAAAATAGTATCTTCCAATAGCGATGGAAAATGTTCAACTATTCATCCTTTTATCGTAAGAAATTTAATATTGTTGATATCTTTTCATCTCTGACTCAAGCGTGTATTGAAGATCTGTCTTGAAAAATGAAAATGAAAATCAAGAATTAAAGAATGGCAAGTAAATATGTTTATATTCAGAGAATAATCTTCACTGACTGCAAAATACATCTGATATACATTACACAATTCTCATATACAAAGAACACGTTCACATTAATCAGTCAATTAAAATCATTAATCCAATAAAATCTCTTCAGGTACATTTTTGGTTAGTATGGCTTGTAAACTTTGGAGAGACCTAACTCGTATAAAAGACCTTCCTTCATGATTATCTGGTTCTTGTTTAAAATTCTTAAAATTAATTTCATTTTGTTTGCATTTGTTTTCTTGTTTCTCACTTTCATCCCACTTGCTACAACCAGGAGTAGAATGAAATGTTACTTTTTCTTCTAAAACAGCACAAGAAAGTTTAGATTCTTCATTTGGTTCTTCTGTGGTGGTAACACATGTTGACAATTCTGGGTTTGACTGAGAGGGATGAGTGCCTTCACTGTCTTCTTCAATAAGTGATGGAGGTGATGCAGGACAACAGTTTAAAAATACAGCCTCAGACGATTCCATGTCTGAAAGTTGAAATTTTTTCTTAATCAAAGAATTCATATCTGAAGGGCTTGGGGCAGAAACAAGACAAGCCATACCTGCCCCAGGAAGCCTCCTGATATTCATAAATATTAATTAACCTTTGGTCTAAGTATCTCTAATCTTGTTACTGCCCCAAACCTTCTAAAACATTAACATGAGATGTACAGGACAAGCCATACTTTCACCAAAACCGAGATATTAACATTTATGAGAAGTTGGTGGCCTGCTGTGACTGATCTTGTTACTGCCCAAGCCTTCATAATTAATCAGCCACTCACCAGTTACATTGTTGTACAATATTACAAACCGAGTTAACGGTTTGAAATTTTGTACAATAACGTTTCCCTTGTTTTTTGCCCAATTCTTTTGTACAAATGAACTGAGAAAAGTAGGGGGGAAAATGATTCCACTGTGACAAAAACATTCCTATTAAATATAACTCCAAACACAATTCAAAATAGAGTATCTCCTGTGAAAACATTTCAAGTAAGTGATTTTTCAAAGATGGTATGTACACTAAAATTTTGAGACTTGCAGAAATTAAGGAACAAATAATAATAATAATAATAATAATAATAATAATAATAATAATAACAACAACAATAATAATGTTTTTATGAATGGTGTGACTTACAGCTCTCCCACTTTTTACACAAATTTAGGAACTCATGGGAACGAATGGGTTTACAAGAATGATCATTTATAAGGCTGAACACTACAAATACCATTTTACTGTATTTTACATGAAAATACAAGGGTAAACACCAGAGAGGAAGAGGATGTTAAAGGCATACCAGACTGTTAAATTATTAATGTACTGAAGTGTAAAAATACAACAATATTGAGAAATTTTATTTTATTCACTGCAAAATGTTACTTCTGGTTACATTTCAAGTGCTTTAATCCATAATTCATATCTTAATGGAAATCATGACATGATAAAAGACAAATAGTCTTTCAGGAAACAATGGAAAGCCATTGCAGCGTTACTGAAAATTTCGAAGTTTCTCTTCGGAGGAATAGCTATTAAGAAGCTTGCATATTTTCTGAAGAACCTCTCTTCTTCTAATACGTAATAAAACAACACTTACATTATTTGTAATAGTTATGTAATATTTTAATACTAGTATGCTCTTGTGAAAATTTTGCATATTTGGATTGGATGTTTTTACAGCCAACAACAAATTACTTCACTTGTGCACTATCTAGGACCCAAAACGCCTCTGTGAATGTTTCCAACTGAAATATTTTCTCAAGCAAGAATTTGAACTTATGTACATGCATGTACTCAATATCCAAAAACACAAATCAATATAAAGAAAAGTCAAAGGCAGGCTAAAATCATGAAGCATGATGAGGATATTTTGAACTCTCATAAATCAAAAGCAATGTGGAGTAGAGTAAAAAAATACAACAACCACAAACCTGGTAGAGAATATTGTTTTCAAAGATAATGATGGGAAAGTGAATAATACAGGAACAGTTGCTAGTCTCATCAATGAATATTATTTGAGAATTGCAGTTGAGGTAATGAAGGGTCTTAAGCCACTACATTCTACAACAGTCATTTCCCCCAATTTTTTTAGCACAATGTTTGTTTCTGAAACTTAAAAACCCATGAAATTCTCAAAAGTAATCGGAAACAAAAAAAATAAATATTCAGTCAGTGTTGATGAATTTGCGAATTTACTGTTACAGACTTGCCAACCATGATTCACCAACTTTTATATCTAATGCACCCTTATGCACTGGAACATTACCAGATACTTCATAAACAGTTAACATTAAGCCTCTTCAAAAAGACAATAAAAATGAAATTAAAAGAATCAGACAATTTCTCTTTTGATAGTTATTAAACAATATTAGAGAGTATTTTTTTTAAAGTATGAATGGAAACCTCTCTGAAAAAATAAAGCATTTCCAGATTATCAACACAATTAAAATCTACGGAAACAGACAATAATTTTTTTTCTTTAAGATGTCATTTCATCACTGAATCAAAATGAAGTACCTATTTGAATATTTTTAAATCTTTCACAAGCACTTAATGTCATTGATCAGAATATTTTACTTTCAAAATTATCATTGAATGGAATTCATGATATTGCTGTAGATTTGTTACAGTTGTACCTTCAACAATGATCTCAGGGGGCAGAAATACTGCATTGAAATGATGGACTTTATTCACCCTTCCAATTCATTGCCAATTGCCCCACTTACTACTACTACATGTAAACAATATGTCCTCATTGATTCAAAAGGGAAGAACAATTCCCACTGCTGATGATGTGAATATTCTTTGCAATATTTTTTCTCTTCCGGATCAGCATCAAGCAGTACCCCTTGCCCCACCTGACATTACATGCACTCTCTGCCTCTGCCATATCTAGGGTCTTTTTTGTCTGTCTGTGAACAATACATACTAAACTGTACAGAGGATATTCCCCAAATGATATGGCAAATGTCACAGCCCCTTGACTTTGAAACTGATATTTTGTTTTTTCGGGGTGCTTTACAAAGCACCAACAATATTTTCAAAATGTTCTCAAAACTGGCTCTAAATTACCCCATGTGTACACTGACAGGTCCATTCTTTGAAAGCCCTTTTATTCACCTAATTAACATACGAGATCCTCTTCTTAGAGCAACGGAGAAAGCGGTTAAGGAAATCAAATGCTTTACCGTGGTGGTGGTCATAGAGGTGGAGGTGGTCGTGGTCGTAGTCATAGTCGTAGTAGTAGTAGTAATAAAAAACAAAAATACTTTGTCTTCAGACATGTGACAGTGTGACATAACAGTGCAAAAAAGTAAAAATTAAAGGAAACAGTGTTAACGTATGACTAGAGGCTTTTGACTATATTGAACTTTAGAAATCAAATTTGAAAAAATTCGCTTCTTCAAATTCTCATCCTATTAATGCACGCAACTTAAAGCTTACATATCAGCAGTGATATAATAAAATAAATTGTTCCTTTCAGAGTCACACCTTGTGACTACCATGGGAACTTTCATTGTAGTCACATTTATCTTAGACTATTGGTAAAATTGAACATCAAAATTCCTCCTCTCAGAATTAAAGGAATACTATTCTTTAAGTTAACTTGTTCATTGTGTTAAATTCTCTCATTTACATCAAGAAAAGAAACACATTTCAAATTTTTCATCCGAGAATTTTTATCCCTTTATTCATTATTGCATAATTTATGAACTGAAACATAATATAACAAAAATTACAAATAGAAATCTAAGACTCACTATCTTCAGCTTCTTCATCTCCAATTTCACCAAGAATATCATCCATTGTCTCTACTGTCTCATTTTCTTCTTCCTCTTCCTCCTCTTCTTCATCACTGTCAGCATTGCACTCCTCATCCCCCTCGCATTCTTCCCCATTTTCATCTTCTGAATTGATCCCTTTGTTAACTGCTTCAGAAGAATTACTATCTTCTGATGCAAATTGAGCCTTTTTGACCTTTTCTTCTGCAAAAGAGTTGATAACCTACACACAAAGGAAATGAAAAAAGGTTTTTAAAACAAATTACATCTTCAGTATGTAAGACAGTGAATATTCGGAGAAGCAATGCGAAGCAATGTACAATATTTAAGTAATATATGTAAAGAAAATATATTTTCTTAAATTTGAATATGCCGCACCTGCCACATTTAGCACATATTTTGATCAAGGACCACTGGATGGAATGAGAATTACGATCATTAGAAGAAATTTAGATAGGCACGAGTACATATAGAAAGTTTATGAGAAAGATATATCGTAATTAAAATAAGCGGTGTAAATAGAGAAGCGGTAGTAGTAAGTTTGAATTGTTTACAGGTAAGAAAAAAGTATTGTAAATAGCTTTTGTATAATAATGTTAATAATAGTTGATAAAAGTGAATAAAAATCCACTCTGGTGGAGATTGAAGATTCCACCTCCCAATTTAGAGACTGATTTACTCTCCAAGCTTCCAATGATCTCTCATCCCCTTGGTGGTGGAAAGGTAGTCTGGGATCTTCACAATCCATACTAGGATATTTAAATTTTTAAATTTAAGATGTATTAATATGATAAATATTACCTCATCAATTTTCTCTTGGAATGTCTTCCTATTTTCATCCAATTTTATTTTCAATTCTTCATTTTGATCTGCAGGATCGTTTTCTTCTTCCAAGTAGGTTCGGTGTGATTCCCAGAATTCATTTTTTCGCAATTTCTGCAGTTGCTCACCAATATCTAGAAATACTGATTTTGCTGTAAAAATAAGTCAAGTATGAATCAATCAAGAACATGAGTCAAATGCCAGACTTTGTTGGAACGTTTGAAAGTTTATGCATATTTCAACTTTTCCTAAGCGTGCAAGTTTGGTTATTTGAAACAGCAGTTTGCTTACATATTTTAGTACTTAATAGTGCTTGATAATCCTCTTTACTTTACTTCTTTATTGGAATGACCAAAAATTTAATTTGTAAGGAAATTTCTTGAACATTTCAAATTGCAGCAGATTTCCTCACTGTTTACAAACAACAAAATATTTACACAAAAATTAAAGAATTTCCCCTTTAAGAGGCTTTTTTTATATATATCTTGTAAACAGTGATCTACAATTAATTTTTAAGGTCATGTGTGAACATTTTTATCAAGCCAGTGCATATTTGTATTAAACATACAAGTTGGGTCAACTCCTGTTTTTATTATTCATTACAATTTCTTGACTGTCATAAAAAATTTGAATATCCTCTAAAATACTAAAATTATTACTAAGTACTAAAATTACAATATATATAAACAGCTGCTGAGAATATAAACAACTGCTGAGAATAAGAAATTCAAGTGGTTTTAATGAATAAATCAGCGAGGTAATAAAAAAAGTGAGCATATTTAACGCACCTTCTCGTCTTAGCTTTTCTTTTGAGATTTCAATATTTTCATTGTGATATGAGATTTTCAGAAGATCATGAATATCTTTGAAGTCCGGGAACTCTCTTTTGGTATTAACATATTTTTCAATGGCTCTGTTCACTTTTGGAAACTGTGTACCTGCAACACAAGGAAGTTTAAATTTAATGAGTTACAAAGAGATTTAATTCAATTCCATAAAATTGGATTAACCAGCTGCCCACAGATTCTTTGAAATACACTAAATTCACTGTTTGATTTTTAATTTTATTATTATTATTATTATTATTATTATTATTATTATTATTATTATTATTATTATTACTACTACTACTACTGTTATTATCATCATTAATTAAGACAGCTCACACTAATAGTCTAAAAATTCAATTTAAAACACAGGATGTTAACAAGTAAGACATCTTTATGTTGCTTTGGCTATGCAGTAAAACTCTATTTATACATTTTGCACATTTTTTTTTATATTTATGCGTTATTTGCTGACAAGTCCCAGCTAAATTCCTATACTTACCACATTAAATTATTTCAGATACATGCTTATTCATTTCTCACTTTTAAATCGATAATAAAAGTCCTGGCTATATACCGACATCAAAGACCAGTAAGAACACTTATGTCATCCTAGAGGAGCCCAACAAATTACCAAGTCATCCCAGAGGTCCTCTGTAGTTTCGTTTAGTGTCCAGGTGGTTTTGTAGGAATGTAAGGCCTCTTAGAATTCCATTGGAACTTAATAGGAACTGGAAGCCTGAACAAAACCACAGAGTGCAAGGATAAAGACACTACTGCCCACCACTGTACTGGTGTGGTTTTGCATAAAATTCGCATGTCACTTGGTACAGCTTTGTGTAATGCTTGTCGACAATACACAGTAAACATCTGGCCTATTTGTATGAGATACATGGGAATCAAGCAGCGGACTATTATGGGGCAGTTGTCAAATTTTGAGGGGGAAATTTATACCTTTTACCCTTTAAGTAAAAAAATAAGAATAAAAGAATTTAAATCAAAATAAAAATACAAATCAGAAGTATTGGAGAAAGACACTTTGTAAAAGCTAGAGGAAATTTTGTGGCTATTTCCTGCCACTATAGGACAAGATAGCTTTGACCATAATCACACTTTTTTAAATGTAATTTGTTTCATGTTTTTTGGTATAGAATGATGACTGACGATGCAGAAATATTGATGAAACCTGTCGGGTTGCTTTTTAAATTTTAGTATTAATATTATTCAATATCTACGTTAAGTAATTTTCTCTCTCTAATTCTTGTATTGAAATTTCACAAAATTTTCACAAAACCCATTGAAATAAATTGATGGTAATTAAAATGCAAATTATGACATCTAATATTTTAGCTATCATCTACATCCCTCTTCACCTGTTTTAAACACAGCAATGCCCGTTATGGTCAGTTCAGTCACGTAAGAATTTTTAGGCACTCGTTGATGCCAAAAACAAGGGGTGCTTGGTCAATAAGAAATGATTTGTGTTGACTCCACATCCCTTGTGCTAGAGGAATTGTGCTCCCTATTATTTCTGTTGTTATGTCAACTGTTCACAAGAAATCAATGTATTTATAAAGCTAGACTGCCAAAGAAAATTACACCTCCAAACTTTTTTTAAGAAATATTATTTTTAACATTAAATTTAGTCAAAGGGGAGTTTAATGAAAGCATGATTAAAGTAAACAAAACATGCTCTTGTGAATTTACGGCCTGTCCAATTAATACAATTTGATGACTTAATTCACATACTCTCATCTGCTCTTCAACATGATCTGTATCAATTCTTACAATATTCATTTTAGTGATGACACTCTGAGGCGGTAACAGCTGGCGCTTAAGACAATTGGCAAGCAGAAGAATATATTTCTGTCTTGGATGAAGTTCAACTGTTTTAGAACCTGCAAAATACATTGTCTACTGGTCTGAAAAAGCACCTGACAACCCCCTTTGCAAGTTAAATTGATTTTATGGCATACATTGCCAATAATATGCTTAGCTTGAAAGTTTCTTTAGCTTTATAAACGATCTTGCCACTCATTAATGAACAGTTTTCTCAAAATTAAATATATCTCTCATATATAAAAATAAATATATCAGACATATAAGGTTAGATGTATATATAACATACATTTTTCACATGCTCTCAATTTTTCAATCTCCTAATAGTTTAATTGATGAGAAACTTTTAGAACACCATAGAAGAACAGAACCTCTTATCAAATGAAATTTTTTTGGGACAGATTTGGAGTGGTTTTGAAGAAATTTCATGACTGTTGCTGAAAATGACCCTTCTTGAATCAATTTACACTAAAGTACTTTTGGGATTTCAAGAAATAAATAATGCAAATATTAAAGAAGGTAAGGGAAGGAAGTCCCTGATTGATAAAGTACCTCAGGGATTACATGTCGTGGGGGAAGAAGGTTGGGGATCTGCAGCCCATGACCCCATTTTACGTCTTGAAGCAACTGACAGTGGACAATACAGACAAAGCCTCAAATGCAGGACCGCTTGGTGGCATGGCCAGTGAACATTAGGCCACCATTTGTAACAAATCTGGCTCGGAACAGTTCATGATTAGGATTCCCTTCCAAGGGTCAAGGGGGCAGGGGTTATAAGGCCATCGATTTAAATAATGTAGTTCGGTATCATGACCCCCCTAAACTTAATACACTGCAAATGCATCAAGAACTACAAAGGAAAGCTATGTGCTTAAGGGTCTTTTCTCGATGTGCCAGGGTCCGAAAGCATCTAAAGGAGACCTATGCGAGTTATGCACTGCCACCTATTTTTTCAAATTAGAGCTTTCACATCTGTCTCATGCCGACCCATATACAGCAAATAGTCTACAAACAGGAGATATTTAGCTGCCATTGGCTCAAGCTTTTGTTACTACAGAATCAACATTGACCCTAACTGAGAGATACAAAGATTCAGCTAGAGCTGTTTCTCTAATGTTTAAATTCTTAATGAAGCAGTCATTGACATGAAAAAAGCAGGTGGTGATGGTGCTGTGTTAAAGCATTCAATACAGTTCCATATGTGGCGATTTGGTAGGCTATATCCAGGAAAGGGATCTACTCATTATGGAGATCCAGCTTGAGAATTTGTAAAATGAGTCAGGGAACATGCTGTTGGAATGAGTGTCTTCATTAGCATTTGCTGACAATCTGGTGGTGTTAACAAAAAATGTCCCAAGAGCTCAACAATTGGTTGATATTATGATAGAATGTCTTGGAGCCCTTGTTATTACATTGTCAGTACTTAAGTGTTCATCATTTCAAATTACACCTTTTGAAAGATTCTGATCTTGAAAGGTTGAGGGAAAGAATTATCCAAGTCAGTAAATACCCTAGTTGGGAATTTTTGGAAAGGCTTTAGAATTTGCTGGAAGCAGTTTCAAGGCTTCAGAAGGTCCATTCATAATGACCTTACCTCTAGTAACTGCTTTTGACAATACCATCTATGTCAATGCTCAGAGAAGCAAATGGTCAAATCAAAGTGGCAGAGAAACAGATCTTACATCTGCAGATGGCAAATTGTAACTGGCCTAAAGAGATGGAAGATTGTGCTTGCTGTGGCTCACCTAACATGGTCCTCGGGTAGCACTAAACTCAGGTATATTATTAGAAAACTTCACAGATGGCTGAGCTACTGACCAGGTTCTTTCACGTGAACATTAAAGGCCACCAAAGCATTGAGGTTTCACTGGCCATACACTGAACAAGATGTAAAGGCCTACGAGAAGAAATGTGCCAATATCAGGGAAGCTGCCTGGGAGAAGTTGGGTTGCCATGGGGTAAAGGTGCATATAAATGATCTGACTGGGAATGCCTTTTTGTGGCACCAGTCTTCTGTAACCTGGTCTTTTTATCACAGCACTTCATTCAAGATGGAAAAGCAGTGCTAACAAATTATTGTAAGTAGGGAGAGGCCCAAAGAGGATGTATATTGCGGAAGTCCAATACAATGAATAAAATAGATGATAAATCACATCCTGGATCAATGCATTTTCACTAAAGCATTGAGAATAAAGTCATGATGGCATCATGAACATCATAGAGGGAAGAGTTACTGCTAACACTTGTTGGATACTAGAAACCATGGAAGCCCTTTTTTCCGCTGCTGAAGGTAACCTAATAAAAAGCCAGAAAATGGTAGACATGCCTGTCTGCCACGAGGATAGGTCTAGTTATTTAAAAGTCATCATTCAGCAGTAATGAGATATTAAAGTTAATATATTGTTCTCCAACTGACTTATAACACAACACTGCACAACAAATTTATAATCCATTACTATTTCAGGTGGTTTAGAAATACAAAGTAAGCGGAAAATACATAAATTTGCAATTTTATTTAAGAAAAACAAACAAAAATCAGGAAAAGAAAGATGAAAGAATGATGAAAACACTTGTAGGCTTATATCGTACTATATGCACTTATTGAATCATTTTATTTATTTGAATATAACTGATTCATTTGTTTCTTTTTTCTTGCATCATGATCCTACTACTGAAGATCAGGGGGCTGTAGGAAGTTAATCTTTTTTTCTAAATTCAAATTAAAACCATGAAAAAACCATCAATCTATGGCAAGGATGTATTTAAAAAAAATATATCTTGATGGGATATTTCCTTTAAAACATGTAATAATAATATAGAATAACAAGATACACATTTGCTAATGAAATCATTAAGAGTAAATTTAGGAACAATATCTTCATTTACTTCTAGCTTCATCAGGCAGGTTTAATATAAAATGGTACATGAAGGAGGCGATTTCATTTACTCTTCATATTCCTATGGCTTTGTCTCATATGTCTAGTGACCTAGTTTGCTATTAGATCATGCACTTTTACATTGAAGGACTACAAATGCCACTCATATAAAGACATATTTATTGTTAGGTATGGCCTCAGCAGATATTATCGTTAGCTGACTAGCTCTTTAGGATTTAACTTGTGAAAAATTATCTCCTTTTGCAATACCATAGTTTGTGGCTTTCATAAAATGGAAAAGATAAAATCTATGATTTCACATCCCTTAATTCTTTTAGGTTCAACATCCTGTGAGAAATGATTGGCATTAGTCAAGCATGATTACAAATTCTAATTCTGATACAAAAATGGTTAACTGAACTTAAACCACATTTCAGTGGGTGTGAATAAATGATCAAGTATTATTTGAGGCTTATTCACCGATTTGAATTAATCATGCAAATTTGGGATGGTGGATTTAAGTATTTAAGGTTGCCAAAACCGAAGATGGATAGAAAAACTTATTACCATAACTCCTTTTCAAATACAGTATGTAGTTGCACTACTAATACGTAAAGTAGAAAACATCTTGCATATTATTGGCACATTCAGGACAAATTTCGACTTGCGAGTGCTCTTGGCTGTCCAGGTAATACAGCACGCTGTAATGCCAACGTTTTGACCATCTTGTCATGGACTTCCTCAGGTCTGGTCTGCACCGAAATGGTGGGCTCTCTGTATATGGGTGGGGCCAAGTGTGATTAAGTGAATCAAGGGCCAACCGTCGCCGCAGAAAATGGTCAAACCAGAAGGTATGGTGCGTAATTGGACGGCGAGGAACGGACCAGAGTAGGACACCTGCGTGTCAGCCTGTGGTAATGGCTGCCGAGCATCATTGAGGAGCATCATTGAGGTTTTAAGAAAAAGAAATGATTTTTTGGTATCAGGGAACCTCAAAACACTTATTTCTGTTGAAACCTCAAAATTGATTTTACGCTGCATTACATAACTTTTACTACTATACCACATGAATTATTCTTTATATACATACATAAACGAGAAAGTAAATACTACCTGGTTCAGATACCCTGTCTTACCTCAATCATTGTGTCATTTATTGATAGAACTTGATCTTGCAAAATTGAGCAATAGTTGTATTAATTGTACTTTAAATAGACTGCAGATTCTATAAAAATTTAAGAACCACTAAATAAATCTGCATTTAGTTTCTTTTTAATGTGTAGAAAGTAATACATATTTTAAAAATTATTTTGTTTAATTTCCTTAAACGTAAATGTAAATAAGATGTAAAATCATCCTTTTCAATAGAAAAGTAATTATAAAAGAGAAGTTGTCAAGAAATAAAATGAAGTACAAAGCAAAGCAAAGCAAAGCAACAAACAAATTTTCATTGGATGTGTACGAGAACACAAGAGATTGCATTGGGCAGTATCGCACTTACGTGCGACCTGGGCTGGCAAATATTGTAGCATAGTTTTCTTTTTCTCTTTCTTTCTTTTTTAACCATTTATACTATTTTTAATAAAAAACTGTTGTACAATGTTTGAAATTATGCAAATAGTGTCCATACAGATAATTGATAATACATATACGTATAAATAATTATCACCATGATATTTATTTAATAAACTTACAATATTTTTGTCTCCATTTTTTCTGTGTATAACAATTATATATTTGATTATTCATGCCCCAGGCTGCAACCTGCTCAGCCTATCTGGCAATCTGGCACTGGCCTGACTGTAGGGGCTAGATGGTGCAGGTGAAGGATTGGGGACCAGCGGCAGGGAGGAGGAGGAAATATATGTTCTGGTGTGCACAATGCTTGTACATACGCATTGACGCAAGACAAAAGTAGTAGAACCAAGAAGGAAGGGTCAAAATAATATGGAAATATGGGAAGGGTTATCACTGGCAATAAATGTTAAACAGAGAGGCCAACATAAATTATGCTCAACTGCAATAAGATATCTCGAATACAGGGATACTTTATCTGTTGTGGGAATCCAACCAGGTGCTTCAGCACAGCATTATAGACATTTATGATATTGATCAGAGATATTTCTTTCTATGCAAGCAGTTCTCACATATGCACTACTAATGTCCTAATTGCTCTAAAAAACAACAACAACAACAACAACAACCTGGCATAGCTTTCTTCAATTCTCCAAGCCTTGTTTGGCCCTTCCAAACCATTCTACACACAGACAGTAGTTTTTTGTACCTGGTTCCAAATTTGGGCAACAGTAACATTTGTACGATTCATTTCCTTGACACTGACAAAATAACCTGCCACTATCATGAATCCTCATAATTTGACTCCTTACAAATACTACCACTTGCTTGTATTCACTGCACACCATACCTTGAGGCAATCAATTTCTAAGAAAACAACCCCCTTATTTATGATATGATCCAAGACACACTTAAAGAAGTACTTATGCAGTCTGACTTCATGTCAACATGGATGGTCCACCATGAAATCACTGACATCATTAACACATATTCACTAAGATTCTGACCATTCTACTCTCTCTCTTTTTTACAACACACATGTGCAAATATGAGAAATAAGTACTAATATTGCATTCTCTTAAATATGATTTCTATAAGTTAATTGCATTAGTTCATTCTTTCTCGAGCAGAAATTTTCAACAACACAGTCACAGTTAATTTGAAACAAACTTGATCTTACAAACAAAATAAACAATTACTATATTTTATTCAGACAGATGTGTTACTGCCCATCCTTTAAAAACTAAGGGGACATCACATCTCTATGCTGTAACGATGAGTGAAAGTAAAATAATTTTTTGGTAAAAAGTGTACCTTCTATCCTTTCTATTCTAGCTATTACTTTTGTATCTGTGAATCTGATTTTGTACATGTTGTAAGTTATCTACATTTCACTTCTTGAATCTAAACAATTTGTTCAGTTTTTCCAAAATACATCATACATTTCCATTCTTACAACAATTGTATAAAATCAAATCATTTTGAAGAATCACCTGAGAAAGATATTCTCCTGCAAAATACAGATGATGTATTTCCTTCCAATTCTTGTAATTTGGCATGAATCTTTATCAGTCTTTCTCGATACCTGTAGCAACAAAACAAACAGCTATAAAACAGAGAATTTTCTTTTCCCATCATAATCTTGTTAATTAATAAAATTATTTAAAGTCTAATTTTAAAATTTTAAGTCACAATAAAAGTCAATACAGGAGAAAAAAAAATTATCACAATTCCAAAACTTTCATAATTTAGAATTCATGACAAAGGTTTGCTAATACAAGATGTGTTGGTGTAAACAATATTTAATGAAATATTCTGTTTATCTGCACAAAAAACATTGCATGTAATATGACTGAAGGATCAAAACATGCAATGTTGAAAAGAAATTAAGAACGAATAATTTGCAACAAGAATGGAAAGTGCATATGAATGTAAATAATAAAGCCAACAACAACAGATTTTCAAATAAACGGATAGACTTAAACATTTCCTCCTAGCAATTAGAAATATAAAATTTCCACAAACAGCAGTTCTTGACAGCTCTCGAGTTTTTACAATCATATAATATTATAAAAATAATTTAGTTTTGTAAGATTTATCGCTAAGAAAATGTATGATAACATTTTTTTATCAAACAATAAAGACTTTGCAAAACAATATTTTTTTGAAGCACTAGTAACTTTCAAAAATACATTATAAATTCAATGTAGAACAGGGTTCTTTAACATAAGTTCTACAGAACCCCATGTTTTCTTGAAACATTTACAGGAGTTCCGCAAGTGATCACTATCTGCTCAAGCAAAATAGGTAAAATGAAAAAATCATCTATACAACGAATTTTTCATTTAGGAACTGGGTAGTAGGCTGTTTTATTAGATTAATACAATATTTAAGTAAAAATTACAGTGTTAATATAAATTGGATGTAAAAAGGCAGTTGATTGTACAAACTTGTAAGATTGATCACACAATTAAATAACTTATAACGATAAAACCAAAAAACATAAAAATAAGGATTTTGTCATTTTCATAAAAGAATGTACATGAATTTTGTTCACACCTGATGATGCATAGAACTACATTATCGGAAATGTGTTTCAGAATAGATATGTGAAAAACAAAACACCTTTTGGAAAATTCTGTGCTGTGCTTGTCCAAAGAGAAAAAAGGATACCTAGTGTTAAAATATAAATATTACCTGACAATATCACAGTATTTTATATTTTATTATTTTTTTTGTTTAAATAATTTTTGGGATAATAAACTTTGGGAATCCCTGACTTAAACATAAAACGGAGAAGTCGTTGTTAGTTTATGATTATGTTTTCTGAATTTGAAAAGCTAATATTTAGAGTTTTATGTTTTTTCTAACCATTGTTAAACTAGTTACTAGTGTTGTTGCCCAAACTAATGGTGCTACAACAGCACGTACTTTCTCGCGTTATTGGAAGCAGCTAATATTGAAGTACTGCTTTTTCTGCGTTATTAGCACTTCAGTTATTTCAAAATGTCTCATTTCAAAGACAGCAACGCACTAGTGCCAGCTCAACGTTCTCAAAACTGTGTGGATTCGTTAGACTACTAATAGTAATTACAATATATGCAATTGACATCAAAATATTTATACAAATTCTGGCTGCTCACATGTGAGTTCCGATAAAGTTTCATCGTTTTTCTTTTATTCAATACGCAGTAATTTTTTTTAGGGATCAGATGATATTAAATGATATATAACATACCTCACCAGGCATTCTGAGGAGTATATTATAAAAATCTTATGCAAAATTCATCGCAAGTACTGGCTTTCTGGCAAGTACTGGTCTAGGTGTTACACAACCACCAGTTGGACTTGATAAAACAGCTATACCTTATCACCGCCTCTCAACGTTCGACAGCAATTAGCTTAGCCGGACTGCTCGCCGTCTCTTCAACGCACAATGCTTCACAACCCAGAGTAGTGTGTCTTTCTGACACCCTAGCATGGCCTTGACTAATGTCAATTTGTCATGACCAATCTCTGGCGGTAAGATTATGATTATTATCGCGGGGCCGAGAGATGTGTGAACAGAAGTTATGTCCTTACAAATTCCCACGCTCGTTGAGTCGAAAGGGAGGGAATTCTCCTACTACATACATCTTGAGAGACCAGCGACCCCAAGGTCGAATTCTACCGTGACCGGCAAAGTCCCTTACCTTCATTGACGACTGAACGCACATCAAAAGGACAGAGAAATGAACACAGATTTGCATATGCATTTACATCATTAAGAGATTCGCGTGTCTCTCTGCCAATTGCATTTAATTTACAGAAATTCCCGTTTTGTAAGTTTTTCTTTCGCTGAAGGCATTAAAAACCCTTTGGTTCCTGCCTTGAACTTTTATCCAGGGTAAAACGCAATTTAACTTGACGGTCCGCAGAAATTTTCCGTTTAAGGAAGGTTTCCGGCTTGTACAAGTTCCGGTTTAGACAGAATTTACTGTACCTACGAACAAAGTTACATAGAATATAAGAGAGTAAGGGTACTAGTGAGGAGGATAACAAAATTTTGAAGAGCAGGCTAGGAAAAAATTCACCAAGATAACTTCAAAGTTCTCAAAAAGCCAAATATGGGAGAAAAAGACACTGTGCACATTAATATCGTTCCACAAACTTAATGGATAAATCATTACAAGTAGTTATGGTTCAAGAAAAAGTCCAAGAAACAAACAAGGACAGATACTGAACAAAATAGAAAGGAGACCCAAAACACGACAACGCACAATGGAATGAAGGAGCTATTAAAAACAGCAAGTGCAAGAAAAGTCAGACGTCATCCAAGTGAAATGGTACAATCAATAAACTAAGGTGCAACCACAACACATACTTTCTTGCAATAATGGAAATAGTTACATGATATTGAAATACATAATTGTTTTTAGTATGGCAAATTGTGATTCCTACCCTACTCAAAACTCAGTTAAAATTTGAAAAAGTCCAATTCAAACAAAAGCCTGCGGTGCATATCTGCGTTTATTTCTATAGCCAGGAACAGTAGTGATTTCTAACCTTTTACAAATGAAATAAACTTTAATAAATTTAACTGTTACAGTACTTGCAACACATTATACAGAAAATAAAGAATAATATTTCACACAACCTTACTCTGATTACATTGAAGTTGGCTAACAATTTCTGAATACCATAATCAGCGATCAGAACAAGTAAAATAAATGTATTTGTTAGTTCTACGTTACACATTACTTTCCTTAAATCAATTTCCCTTCCTAAGAATTTTTTTATCTATTTCATACTAACATCATTCCCGGCAAACACTCAATAATACAATTTAATATAAAATATATATAAATACAAAATATACAATTTAATACACAATATAGAATATAATTTGAAACCGTCAATTTGCGTATTATCTGTGCTTCACAGGAAGCGCGGGAAATTCGAATTTATCGCTTGGTTCCCCCCCCCTAATTTTAGAAAATAGACAGTGTCCAGAAAAAGGAACTATTACTTTCACTACTTTCTTTACCGTTATTTGCTACATACGTGAAAAATTTTGAGTGGCTTCGAAGGAGAAAGACACCCTTAAGATTGCCTGTTTCACGCAAAAAATATTCATACTTTCGAAAAATTGAACATGACCTCATTTGAAGATATTTTTGATGAACACATTTCATTACGAAAAAACATCTTCATAATTGTAGTTGTAGGAAAATTTTTAAAAATTACGAATTTAACCAATTATCGAAAAATCAGCGATTTTATCGATAAAGGCGTTCTCTTAATCTTCCTTTACGCTACCCAAACTCAAAAATTAAACAATTTGATGTCTTTTTTTGGTTCATTTTGGAAATGTCCCAGGAGCTTCTTGTAAAGTACCCCCCCCCAAATTAAAATATTCAAATTCAAAGGGCTGCGACATCAGCCAGATAGACAGGGAAATATCAATTTTGGTGAAAATCGTACTTACGGTTTACCCGCTAGCGTTGTTCACAGACGGATGGACGTTTTGCCGCCAACCAATTTTTCGGAATCAAGAACCAAAAGATCATGGATTCTGACTACACACAACGTGTTAGAGGATGTAATTTACCATATATAAGGTGAAGGTTTATCCTTTCATTACCAGGGCCCGCCAATAAAGTTTTCAGATGAAAATTCACCGTTTTCATCCGCATCATTACAATACTTTCTCTACATTGCGTTAGCATTTGCGAGAAAGAAGAAGGAAAGTAAATTTAAAACTGATATTGATTTGTAAAGAAATTTTGGGATAAAATACTAAAAGTTTGTTGAGGATGAATTATTTTTCTCTTTTTTTGTTATTTAATAATTATTTAATTATATAATTTGTAATATTAGTGTGAAACCATTTTCCCGACAGCCACTAACAGAATGTCATGAGGATTAAATGGCTTTTGGAGAAACATTAGTTTAACAAGTAAATGAAACGGCTTTGTTTTTATTGCTACAATACATATTTCCAGTTATGTCAGTTATCCCTTAAAATATAAATGTATTATGCTTAATACTATATGCAATATCATCAATTCGCATAAGAAATATATTGTCTACGACCCGCAAACATGAGCTAGTAGCTGGAGAAATAATTATTTGTCTTAGAAATTAAATTAATATATTAAAAGAAGAGTGAAATAGTTGTTTTATATTATATTAGTCTCTTTCTATAATAATAATGTTGGGAGTTAACGACAGGGCGATACAATCCCATCAGGAAGGTGCCCATCGAAATAATGATCAATCGACAGACGCTCCTGAGTTGTCTATGATTGGAGCTGCACTGTGTCCATGACCGTCGAGAAAACGCGTATGGCTTGGTGTGTGCTAAGTGTGTTGTGCGTCACGAGTTGTAATCTGCCAGAATTCGTCTGTAATCACGGGAAATCCAGAACCAAGTCTGAAAACTTCCAACCTGAGGAGCACCATGCTGAAAAGTTCCCAGGACTGCTGGAAAGGGATGAGGAGGCCGATGCAAGTCATTTTATAGAGTTGAACCTTGGCAGGGAGCCTCCTGCATGCCCGGGTCGGAACAGCAGAGATGGGGAGGAAGTGTCACACGGCCAGGAT